AGAAAATCAGTTTTTTTTTGTTTAAATCATTGATGTAGATACCCTGTATTTGTAAATGTATAGACCCAAAATTTTTTTTTGTCAGAAATACATGAAATAATACTCCTCTGACAAAATTGAAACCCAAATAGGTCAAAATATATTTGTAAATATGGGTTCTACTCTCTAAATCTGAATTAGTAAAATTCTACTAAGAACTAGTAAAATTTTACTAATTTTTAGTATTTTTCATGGAAGACTTTCCCCCTTTTCAATAAGTAGAATATTACTAATTTTTAGTAATATTTTACTAATGTTTTAGTAGAATTCCACTAATTAAAAGTCATTTTTTTACTAAATGAATTAGTGAAATTGTTTTATCGACTATTAATAAAACAGTTCTACTAATTGTTAGTAGAATTCTACTAATCAATTAGTAAAATCTACTAATAATTAGTAAAATTCCACTATTTGTGAGTAAATCATTTGGTGGAAGACTTTTCGTCATTTCATTAGTAACTTTCTACAAATTTAGATTTAGAGAGTAATTTAAAAAATTAGTAGATATTAATTATTGCTATAATTGGTTTAATGGTAATTTTATGAAAATTGAAAAAAGGGAGTAATCTTCAGTTTTTGTGGGCAAAAATTTCACAACTGGAAAATTAAATTTTTGTTCTACGAACTGAAAGGTTGTATCAGGTGTCAAGAACCGGACGCGGCTACGCAGTCGAAGACTTGAAAATCGTGATTGGAATTTATAGTTTGTTCGAATGCCTTTTTCTCGTCTCATCCAGGTCTCGATTATAAAGCACGTGTGACAACGATCGACTTCCGTATTGTGCGATAATGTGCGCTATAATTACGGTCTCTCTTTTGGTTTCACACGTCGTCGAAAAGAAATTCAATGATTCATCATTGGGAAATTACTATTAGGATTGAAAAATTTTCTCCATATTACTGATTAATATTGAACACAAAATAGACCCAAGACTATAGCATAATGCTACCAAGACAGGGTTAACATTCAAGCCACTATTAGCCCAAGATAGCAAATACAATCATGCTAAAACTGAAATTTGACGATTTGATCAATATTAGTTCGAGAATTGTTAACCTTGCGACGATGGAAATAATATTCAGTTATTTTTTCAAACAATGGCGTTGAGTTACGCCTAATTCATACAGCATTCATAAAGTTAAGTACTCAGTGTTAAATTCCCTCCCTTTTAGAGTCGATTCTTATATTTCAAGTGAAATCATATAAACATGATTTTTGTCGTTTTTTTTAGGCCAACAGGAATTATCTTAATTGCGTGTAGAAAGTCTCGGACTAAACTTGAATTCCAGATCTCCTTGTCCCTCCCCCCATCTTGACTTCCTCTCTGGTCCCCCACCCACCTTTAAATTGATCGCATGCGAATTTTCCCCTCCTTTAACTTTGCAACTTGTGTTGCAACGGCGTGTAATGCTCGACTCTGTGTACCTACAGTATGGGTTTTAGTGGCTTGTTTCGTGGAGTATTGGGGGGAGGGGGGGGGAGCAATCGACCAAGCACTTTCGGTAACTGCGTCACGTTACATACCAAATTCCCCATTAACGTATCCTCTACCGTTACTGGGTCCAGTCCCTTTCTGAACTCTCGAAAGTAAGGCAAAGTAAAGCGATTTTCTACCTTTGCGGTTAAGTATATATATAAAGAATTTTTTTTTATGTACAAAAATATTCATTAACATTTCAAAAAAAAATTGAAGAATATATATATTGAAAACAAGAAAGAAAAATAAAGAAAGTATTGGAAAATAAATACAACAATTTTGAGTATGAATACACTCGGGCTTCGCATTCATCTACTAAAGCCTACTATTTACTATATGTAGTTATGCTACTATTTGGGTAATTTTTTAGATTTCAGCGACTAAAAGCTACTATTTCTGGTTCTTTTTTTAAGAATTTCCACTACTTCAAATTCGCAAATACTAGAAATCAAAAAACTGTTCTCAAAGATTATAATCAAATTTTTTAAAACGATTCAATTATTTTCAAAAAATATTCGAAATTCAATTATTTTCAATATCTAGTATTTTCATAAAATTTCGAAAAAATCAATTATTTAACAACATTCTTATACAGTTCTTCAAGAATAATTCAATTACTTTCACTAGTAATAATATTTTTCCTGGTAATAAATTTAAAAAAAAAAATTTTTGATTATATTCTAAGCAAGAAATTCAATTATTTTCATAAATAATAAAACTCATCGAAGAATTTCAATTATTTTTAATACTATTTTAAATTAATTAATCAAAAAATTCAATTAATTTCACAAATAAAATTTACCACAAGAATTCAATTATTTGAAATAAAGTTTTCATAATATTTATTACATTTCAGAAAAATTAATTATTTAAAACAATGTTTATAAAATTCTTATAGGGAATTCAATTTCCTTAATATAAGATAATAATTGTTGTCAAAAATAACAAAATTTTTCACAGAAATTCAATTCTGTTTAAACATTTTTCGCAATAACTCAATTATTTTATAAATAATAAAATTCTTCTCAGGAATTCAATTATTTTTGAAAATTTTAATAAAATTCTTAGTAACTATTCAATTATTTTCATAAATCATAAAATTCATTGTAAGATTTCAATTATTTTTAATACAATTTTACAGGAATTGATCAAAAAATGTAATTATTCTTAAAAATTTAATTTCAATTCCTCGAAAAAATCAATTATTTAAAAAATGTTTTTTTAAAAATTCTTTCGAAGAATTCCATTATTTACAAAAATATTAGAATTTTTCGCAGGAATTAAATTATTTTCAAATACTTTAATAAAATTGTTCGAAAGAAATCAATTATTTTAAATACAATTTTAATTGAAGTTTTTTTGAAATAATTCAAATATTCTTTTAGATTTTAATAAAATTCTTCCCAAGAATTCAATTATTTACATAAATAATTCTTCGAAAGAATTCAATTATTAAAGATAAATAACAAAATTATTACCAAAAATTCAATTATTTTGAATCATTTTAATAAAATTCCTTGCAAAATTCAATTATTTTCATAAATAATAATATTCATCAGAAGAATTCAATTATTTTTAAAGGTAATAAAATTCTTCTTGGAAATTCAATTATTTAAAAAAATTCTAATAAAATTGTTTGCAAGAATTCAATTATTTTCATAAATAATAAAATGCTTTTTAAGAATTCAATTATTTTCAAAAAAAAATTTAATAAAATACCACACAGACCTTTAATTATTGTCCAAAATTTTAATAGAATTCTTTGTAAAATTTAATTATTTTTAAAAACTTTTCGTAATTCAATGATTTTTGTTATCTATCATTTTCATAAAATTTCCAAACAGAATTCAATTATTTAAAAAATTTTTTGTAAAAATCTTCGTAAGGCTTCAATTATTTTCATGAATAATAAAATTTTCTCAGAAATTTATTTATTTAAATTAGAATTTGCTTAAAATTAACGTTCAGAAATCAATTATTTAAAAAGTTTTATAAAATTCTTCTCAAGAATTAAATTATTTTTATAAATGAATTCTTTCATGAATTATAAACTTCGTTTCTGGAATTCAATTTATTAGCAGGATAATGAAGAAGTAATTATTTTTGATGAAAATTAGGAAAAAGTTAGGAAAATAAAATATAGTACTATGGAATTTTTGTCAGTTTTATGAAGTATCTCCAATGAGTTTTTTTGATCGCCAAGTTTAACTTTCGTCTGTACCCTGTTTTTTTAAGGATATCAAATTGAGACAAAAAAAAATAAAAAGTGTTGCGAAGCAACATTTTGATTTTTTTTGTCTCAATTTCATATCCTTATAAAAACTGTGTAATTGTAAAAAATAAACGAATATAATAATAAAGAAAGAATAAACATAAATATAGAGTGAGAAAATTGATGTTTGCATATTTTTAGAAGAAGACAATAGATTGTAATTGCAAATGAAGTACAAAAAAATATTCAAGCAAACAAAAAAGATGTGTTTGTTTAAAAATTATTTTCAATATTTCTTTTTCAGTTTATTTTAGTTCTATAAAAAAATGTCTATTCAGCTAATTTTGTACTTTCTATATTTAGATCTTCATAAACATGATGGAAAGTTTATTGCACTGTAAATAGTAAAGTTTTAAATAAAGAAAAAGAAGATAATTTTGCTTAGAAAGTCTTTTCTATAAGTGTTCAGAAACAACTTGAGACTAATCTGTTGCTTTTAACACTGGAATGTATTATTAGCGGTTTCATGATTGAAGTGAGCTTTGTATACAAGATAATTTGTTTTTACAAACTCTTTTTAACTATGCGTGTGTTTTGTTATTCGGATTAGAAAAAAGAAGGAATTATCAATCAAATCCAAAGTAAACAGCATATTTTAATTATTTCGGTGAAATTTTTTAATGAACCATAATTAAATTAAATATACTGGAAAAAAGGGAGTTAAAATTAGAACATGATATTTTTCCGATTTTTAATCCGAACAACTTTCTTTCCGTTTGAAACAGAAAAGAAGTTAGTTTTATAATTTCTCTGTCGCATAAAATCTCATTAGTGTTTGTAAATGTCTTTTGCATCATGATTCATGAGTAAATATTTTAGTAAATATTTTTTTTTCGAATGTTAACTATTTTTAGGTCTTTGATTCCTTTTAAAGTCCTTGCATACTTTAAATTGCTTTAATTGATTAAAAGTTTTGAAATTTCTCGAGGTAACTTGACTTTTTTTTTGTTTGAAATTCTCTAAATATCCTGGGAGTAAATGCATTTGAATTATTATTCCTTTTATGGATTTTAAAAGTCTGCAAAAAATACTCGAAATTCTTTTACTGATATAAGAGGGGTATTAATTATGCGCGCAGTTGGGTTGAAATAAAGTACCGACAAATGAACAATTGATAGGAGAAAAAGATCGGGAGTGACAATTTTTGATTTTCTCACAAGTTTTATGGTATTGTTTCAGAAAAGTTTAATATTTTTATATCTTGATTTCAGATACCTCAGGGGGACGATCAGAGATAGGAGGACGAAATCGCAGCATGCAACAAAAGCAGCAAACTTTCGATGCTCACGTAAAGATGCGACATGTGATATAAAAGTTCTTGACAAGAGAAAAAAGGAAGAAGAAGAAGAAAAAAACCCTCGAGGAATCTGAGGGCACAACCGATCATCAATTTCTTCGAAGAGCGAGCAAAAAAAAAAATAATAATAACAAAGTCAAGTCGCGCTGTACGAAAGGAAGATAATAGCTTTCTGGACCATCAAGTCCTGATAACAAGAAATCTTTCGTCATAGACACAAAACCACAAACCTACCCAACCTCTTAGTGCAAAAGGTAATCTTGAGACAAAAATCAAGATCACATCCATAGAGAGAAGATATTTTCCATTAATCGCGTGCGTGAGAGTGTAAAAAGACAGGAACAAAAAAGAAAGAAGGCGATTATTTTCTTAAAGTGCAACATAAGTGACTCCTGGTGTAAATTCGCGATAAAAAGGAAGTACGAGTGATAACGAAAGTGTTGGTGGTGGTGTGGGACGTCGAGAGAGTGATTGACAGAAGAGCAGGTCAGTGTCGGGAGGCCAGTGACAAATAGAGTGTCACGGTGGCCAGCTTAGTGAGTGGAAACGTCGCGGTGCGCTACGATGAGGCGTCGGGGGTGGTGGGGGCGGTCGTGCTGGCCCCCGCTTCCAGGCTAGCCGGCCCAACAGGGTCCAGTATGAACAGCTCGGAAGGGCCCACCGGCGTGGGCGTTGCCGTGGGCGCGGGTCTTGTTGTCAAGGCCGAGTCCCCGGAACATCTTGCCGGCACATCGTCAACGGTCTCAACGGTCACCGGACCCATCGGCACCGGAAGTAGACTATTCGCTGGTATTGCCAGTAGCAATAAACGACCGAGGCCCGACGATTGGCTCACCCCCAACAGTCCCAGTTCACCGCAGAATTCAATGGCCGCGCAACATCTCATCTACACTACTCCACAACAACAACTCAGTCAGCAACAGCAGCAGCAGCAACAACAACAACCTCCCATTGCACATTCAACGCCGATTGGACAGAATCAACAACAGCCATCACAAGCGCCCAACAACAATGGATATGCGAGTCCCATGAGCTCCGGCAGCTACGATCCGTACAGTCCCAACGGTAAAATAGGTGAGTTTTTGCTTTTATTTGTTGTATTCTGTTAGGAACATTCGTTTTCTTGTGTCTGAAGTCGAAAAATCGCATTGACTTTGACAAAACCCAGGATCGGTAGTTGTAGTCAAATTGGGGTACTTTTAATGACCTAAGGTACTCCCATTTGCCTAGAACTAACGATTTTTGGCGTTTCTCTAAAGTATCAGAGAGACTATAGAAATCTTCTGTATCGACAGTCGAATTTCGGCTGTTCGCAGCTGATAATTTATCGACAGTGCACTTTATGGTAACCTGGACGTCAAATCTCAAATTGTCATTGTAGTTAGAACACCAAAAGTATAATTAATTTATCGACAGTCCAATTTCGGTTGTTCACAGGTGATAATTTATCGACAGGGCAGTTTTTGCTAACCTTGGCGTCAAATCTCAAATTGTCATTGTAGTTAGATTTAGAACACCAAAAGTAAAATTAATTTAAATATCAACATTCAGAAAGTTGCATTCAGAGCCTGGCTCTGGTATAAGTGCTAACCGAACTGAAAAGTGCTTAACCTCGACGATCGCATTTTTGAAGTATTTCAGTTGCTTGACTACCGAAACTAAATAGAACCTAGAACCTAAAATAGAACCTAGAATCTAAACCTAAAGTCGACAAGGGTCCTGGTGGCCAAAGGACTAACTAAAAAATTTTATTACTAGGAAAAGGACGGAGATATGTCCAACATTTTTAAATTAATGGAAGATTTTATGTCAATCCACTTACCACCAGGACTCCTGCCGATTTTTGCTCGGATTTGTTTCAAACAAACGGTTTGAAAGGTCGGTAAAATTAATGTATCTGAAGTTAACGTCGATGATCAGCGTCGAAAACATTTCTTCCCCCGAAATCGAAAAGAATCAAATGGTTTTCGAAGGTTGTAGGTTAGAAATGTTCCGTAAACATTTACTTCTTAAAAGTAAAGACACGTTTATTAGTTAATGTTTACTTTAATAAATGGGAAATTAGTAAAATTTTCAACTCTAGAAACCATAAATAATTGTTTTCGACACTGAAAGTCGACGCTAACTTGAGGAATATCAAAATTTTGCACTACCTGATAGATTCGGTCAATATTATTAGACGCCAAAGAGCAGAAATTTTTTGAGGTTAGAAAGTTCGACACCAACATTACCGACACAGTTCTCTACTACCTCTTCTGTCGGTAATGTCGCAGTTAAACCTAAAGTTACACTTTTCTTTTAGAAAAAATTCATGTTTGTTTTAAAATCACAAAAATACAGCAAACATTTGGCATTTTATGATGAAACACTGCTTCACTTTTTCGTTAATGCGAAAATCCATTTTCAAAAATGAAATTAATAATTATTAATTTATCATTTGACTTGAGAATGCTGCATCTGCTATATGCGATTTAGATGAGATTTGAAAGAAACGAATACAGTGACCCAAATAAATACACAGACATTTAACAATTAAAATTACGAAACTGGAACGTATTAATTTTCTAAGTGTCGATCGCGCATAATGTTTTTGTTTCTCTCCTTAATCCACGTGTCTGATAATGTGTCAAGGAAACAGTGTATCGAAGCTTATCATCTTTCTCTATCGAAATAAAAAGTACATGTCGTTTATAAGTGCGCTCTCGTATAAACGCGAAACGAAATGTAACGATTGACCTATAAAAGTTCACTTGTTGAAAAAGCTTCTTGATATTATTGTCATAAAACAAATAGTTCTGTCTAATCCTCTGTTATTTTGTAGCTAGGTATTTTTATTTGGAAAAAGATGAATATTTTCCGGCATTTTTAGAAAAATAATTTTTTTTCTGCGGACAAGTAGGTAAAGTAGTTTTGTATTTGAATTTCGCGCCGTAAATAATTCTGTGTCTTTCCGTCCAGATGTCATGAAAGTTCTCTCACAAACGAGATTGCAATTCTTTCAAGATTTAGTCAATATTACTTTGCCTATTTGAAGATTAATAACTCTTTGGGGTGATAGATCAATATTGGACCCAACTTGGCAGAATTGCTTATAGCATTAAGTCTAAATTATTCCTTCTGCCATCCCGAGGTTAATAATTGATAAACTGAATTAAAATTTATTATTCTTGAACAAATAATGATTTAAGATTTAAATTGGAGACTTGGCATAAGTATACTCGGAATGTTGGGACAATACTTGCTCTATCTTGGTGGATCTTTATCCAAGATTAAATTAAGTTTGTGCTACACTGTAAGCAATAGTTTTCGAATAATTGGCAGAAATTCATTGTTGAGAGTGTACAAATGCAGTTGATTTGTAACAATTATGGCAGTAATAAAGAAACCTTTCTTTGAGTGTATTATTATTGTCTAGACGAGAATGGTATTATTCCATTGAACACTTTCAAATCTAACTCTAAAAACGACTTATTTGTTTAATGCACAATCGATAAGATCATCTCGTAACACATTGCCAATTAAAGCCCAGCTCATTGCTTTTGCTTTCCCACCCTAGCCGAGATTCATGGGAACTTACATTATAACTTGGCAAAGTGAAAACGTCCATTAATATTTAATATGGTAACAATGAGAGGAAAAAAGAAATTTTATCCGATTCTAGTCCACTTGTATACTGCACTCAAATAAACGATACATGCTGTCCTACTTTGGACTTTTTTTCTCTTTTTCCTTTTTTTCTTTGTTTCCTCTTTTCTTTTCCCATTTCTCTCTTTCTGTCTCTTTTTTCGCTTTTCTATCTTTTCTCTTGTATTACATTTATTCTACACCCTCAAGTGTCATTTCGAGTGCCCGCATTGGTGAATTTCTGTCTTTCTCTCCCTCTCTCATGACTTTTGTGCCCTGCAGTATCTGATGACAAGATACGGAGGTGGATGAGAAAAATTATATACGCGAAGAAGAGAGAGCAGATTCCATTTTACATCCTAACATCCTATATAGGTATATAAATGTAATTTATGGATTGCGGTTAAATAAGACACATTACATGACAGAACCGCGAGTAAAGGAGCCTATGGCTGCTTAGATTAGACTTATAAATCAAAATGAACCGCTCGCGCTTATCCAGAGTCAAAATCGCCGACTTCGATTCAGTTTGTCCAAACTCTATACCATTACCACTCGTGAATCTTGCGGGAAAATCTTTAACAACAAAAAATTGTAGCAAAAATTTTTGTACGAACAGGATATAGAAAAATTTGCCGGGAAAATTTAGGGAATTTTTCCGAAAGTCAGGGAATTTTTTTCATCATGACTTGAAATAGTCTTGAACAATATTTTTAATGCCCACAATTAGTTTTATAAATTTTTATTAAAAAATTAATAGTAATAATTAACATTGCCTTTCTAATTTGCAATTCTATTTTATTTTGAGAAATAATATGAACCACTGACATACATATATTCAAATAGAACAATATTGACCACTTCAAATTCTGAAAGATCAAAAGAAGAGCAGAAATAATGGCATTAAAAAAAATCGTTTCGTAAAAATAAGTCAATTTATTTTATTTAAAATACATAATTCAGGGCTCGAACTAGGTCCGTAAAGTCTGTAATTTGATTGAAAATGGACGAAAAGTTTGTAAATTGTACGATATAATTTGGGGAATTTTAGAGAAATTACAAATGATTGTAGAAATTCAATTATTTTCAAAAGTATAAAAAAATTCTTTGCAGAAATTCAATTATATTCAAAAAAATTGTAAAAATTCTTGTCAAAATTTCAATTATCTTTATAAATAATAAAATTCTTCTCCAAAATTCTATATTATTTTCAAAAATTTAAATAAAATTCTTGGCAAAATTTAAATTACTTTTAAAAATGCTCCTCATTTCAATGTTTTTTAATATCTCCCTATTTTAATAAAATTTTTTCAAAAGAATCTAATTATTTAAAAAAGTTTTAATTATTTTCATAAAATAATAAACATTTTACAGGAATTCAATTATTTACAAATTTTTTATAAATTTCTTCCAAATAGTTCAATTTTTTTATTTTCATAAATAATAAAATTTTTACTAGGATTCAATTGAGAGGGTGGATACTATAAGAGAATACGCGCCATTCATACTTAACATTGCACGTATCTCCTTATAGCATCTTGCCCCTTAATTATTTTCGTATATAATGAAATTCTTTTTAGAAATTCAATTATTTTCATAAATAGTAAGAATAATTGAAGAATTTTAATTATTTTTTATACAATTTTAATCGAATTCTTTGAAAAATGTAATTATTCTTAAAAATTGGTTGGTAAAATTTTTTATGAGAATTAAATTTTAAGAAACATGCAATCATTCAATAAATTGTTATTTTTGTATTTAAATAATTGAATTCTAGTAGAATTTTCTCATAAACATTGATTTAAAAATGGAAACTTAATTAAAAATGTTTCTAAGGTAGGTAAACGGTTTTAGTAAAAATGAGACTGAAAGTAAGATCAAAATTTCAATTATCTTTAGAAATAATTAAATTCTTCTGCGAAATTCAATTATTTTCAAAAAAATTTTAATAATATCCTTGTCAAAATTTCAATTATTTAAAAAAATTTTAATTATTTTCATAAAATAATAAACATTTCACAGGAATTCAATTATTTACAAATTTTTTATAAATTTCTTCTCAATAATTCAACTTTTTTATTTTCATAAATAATAAAATGAGAATTAAATTTTAAGAAACATTCAATAATTCAATAAATTATTCATTTTTGTATTTAATTAATTGAATTCTAATAAAAATTTATTTAAAAATTAATTAAAATTTTAGATAATAATTGAGTATTAAAAGCAATATAGCTGGAATTTTTATAAATAATTGAATGTTTCTTGAACAAAAAGTTAAAAAAGGAAAATTTTGTAAACGTAAAATATTGTTTTCTGAATGAAAATCAGTTTTTTTTTCTTCAAATCGTTGATGACAAACGTTGTGAATACTTCTCTCACGTTATTTATAAGTGTTATTAAATAAAATTTAAGCAATTTATTTTTTGTAATTCCATATTGTGCGTCGA